AAACAAAATACGTGAGATGCAGTTTAAGGAGGGTTTAAATGCTATACATTTTGGAAGAGAAGGGAAATCACAAAATGGCCTTCTACTTTTAAAAGCTAGAAGAGACCAAGAACAAGTAGAAATTAAAAGAATAAACTCATAAGAAAATAGAAAAAGGCAAAGAAAGCTGGTTCCAAGAAAAGATTAATAAAATTGAAAAAGTTCTAGCCACACTGCCAAGAGACCAACGATAAACACTGTAAATAAAAGACATCGAAAGCCTCTTTAATAGTCTCCAAATTCTGAAAAGATAACATTTTACCTAATTTACTCCATAAATTTAGGAAAAGGACCAATTTCTTGGTGGTCACAAGCTACTAGTAGAGTTAAGATACAGTAGACAATCTTTTCTTCAATCTGTAAGAAATTTACTTTGTAAATCTTCATGCAAGGAAAACTCAGCCCATACAGGATTACGGATGAATTTTGACAAATTTCACATAGTTCAATACTCTAGTCCCAAACTCATTTTGCAAAGCCTGCATGCACATTCAAGACCATGAGTAAGGAATCTATGATGCAGTCTTCCTCATGAACATACAATAAGAAATTTTTACATAACATTAGTAAGTAGTGTCAACAATACGTTAAAATAAGCAATTCTGACAAGTGGGATTTCTCTTGGGAGGCAAAATTTGTTCAACTTTTGAAAAATCAGTTATTATAGCAACATAAGAGTAAGAAAGGATTTGACAAAACTAAATATTCATTTATGATAAAATCTCAGGAAATCAAGAATGAAAGAAATCTTGAGTATTTTATAAAACTTTCAGTTATTTTAATGCTGAAAGATTCAGTAGAGTCGTTTACCTGAGGTTGAGAACAAGACGAGCATGCATGAAGGTGACACTCCTAATAAATGTCTTACTAACATTAGCCAGTATAATAAAGCATGAAGATAAAAGTGTGAGGAATGAAGAAATGAAACTGTCCCCTTCAGTAGTGGCCTGATAATTTATGTGGAAAATCCTTAAGTGCTAACAAAATTTCTCCAGGCAATAAGTGTTAAGGTTGCTAGATTTAAAAATAAATATACAAAGTCCAGGTGTTTATCAGTAATATGCTATTAGAAACTGAATTTTCAGGGTTAGACATATGGTTCCACAGTTAAAAGAACTGGCTGCTCTTGCAGAGAACCAGGGTTTAGTTTCGATCACCCACATAGAGGCTAACAACAACTGTAACTCCAGTTCCAGAGAATCTAATATCCTCTTCTGATCTCCATGGGAATCTTCCATGTTACACTTACAACATGCATACAAAACAATAAATTTTAAAAGAAACTGAGTTTTCTTTTAAAGTACCATATCCAATAATGCCACATATAAGAAATATATAACAAACAACTGCCTGTTTCAGGAAATGACACTCTCTTCTGGCCTCTGAAGGCATTGCACATGGGTGCTCTTATATTCATGCAGGCAAAACACTTATGCATTTTAAAAAATACCATTTATTTAAAGTAACTGAAGAAATCCAACTAGCTAATAGGCCTACATGTCCAACGGTATTGTTAGTACCTCTCCATGATAACTCATTTACACTCTTTAATGACACTGAACTATTATCAGGATTATTGTCAGCACAATGGGAGGCAAGTCTAGGCCTTGCACTAACCAGTAGAGAAAAAGTTTCTACGTCTAAAAATTCCCATAGCTGGATACTTGGATTGTATGTTTCATTTATAGAGTATATGGTATACATTTTATTTCTTCTACACACATGCATTCCTAAACTTGTCACAGAGCTCCATGCTCCAAAGAATGAAGCAAGAGTTCTAAGAGTACTGGGAATCTGTGATGATTACGGTGGATTACTGGGGCCTTTTTTTTTTCCTCACAACTACTTCACATTTTTTACCTAACTCATAACTGTGTTGGTTTGATGCTAGTTTGAATATGGCTTTCTTTAGTCCCACAGGGGTTTGTATGGCAGTGGCTTGTTCCTCAATGTGACAGTATTAAAGTGATAAAATCCTTTCAGAGGGAGAGGCTACTGCCAAGTGATGGGGTCTGTAGGAGTAACACCATGAGAAAGGGGATGAATGGTTCTCATGGGACCCTAGCTAGTTCCTAAGTAATTGCTATACAAGAGCAAGATCAGCCCCAGTACCTATTCTCTGCCATCCCGTCGCACTATGCACTCATTCCCTCACCACACACTCCATGGTGATGGCATCTACCATAGAACCCAGTGCCATAGAACCCATCAGAGCCCAGCGGAGGCCACTGCCATAGTCTTGAACTTTCAGAGCCAAGAGCTAAATAAATTTTATTTAATCTCTGATATTTTTATAGGTATGGCAAATAGACTACCTGTGACATCTCATATTTAAATCTTATTGTAGATTCAAGTCCTGCCCAGTCCAGTTGGGATTAGACCTGTCACCAGTGTCCATCTTTGAATCCACTGCAACACAGGAAATTCCCCTATGTATCAAACTCCATATGCATTAGAATCACCTCTACATGAAGGATGCTCTACATGAAGATACATGACTTTACAATTGTTTATGAAAGTCTGTTTTGCTTGAGACATTATCTGTGTAGCCAGGCTGGCATGGAACTATAGTTCAACTGCCTCATTCTCCAAAATGTCGAGATCTTGAGTACCACCATACTAGGGCCTAAAACTGAAATTTCTGGAGTATCCTTTTCCCTAAACGTGCAACAAAATGAGCTCCCAAGTCTCACCCACACTAGTGGAGCTGGCAAATGCAGGTGTTGCTGAGTGATGAGGCCTTGGCCAGCTGTACTCTGGGGAAATTGCCAATGGAGGTCTTCCTAACAATGTTCAAGGAAGCCTTCATGAGCAGGCCAACATCCTGAGGCTAAATGCATCAACCTAGCCCTGCTACTGCCTCCCTGTGGGGCCCTGAATTAAGATTCCCTCACCTGGAGACTTTCAAGGCTGTGCTAGATAAAGAGGATATGCTGGTAAACCAGGTTTAGTTTAAAAATAGTAAACTTTAAGTGCTAGGCATCAGGAGTGAGTCCAGGAACTTCTGGAATGTATGGGCTAAGGCCCAGTATGATAGCTGCTCAGCACAGGTCATGAATAAGGAGTTGGGAACCGTCTAGTAGGTGGTGAAGCATCTCGATATTAGCTGATTGTGATTTCATTGTGTAACATCTTGACGAACATGAAAAATATTAGGTGCAGTGTACCCAGCAAAGTTCAGTATATATGTACTGCAGATTTGTGTACTGCCCTAAAAATTTTAATCTAGAAACATTCCTAACCTTTCTACATTGTTTCTTTTATCAGCCCAATTAACAAACCTTTGTCTCCAATCTAAAAAACAAAATCAAAGCAAACCAAAAGTCTGTTATGAAATTCCTACCCGCCATTAAAGATCCATTTACCTATTTCATTATCTTTTTTTCTCTGTGTTTGTCTTTTTAAGACAGGGTCTCCTTGTAGCCCCAGCTGTCCTGGAACTCACTATGTAGACCAGGCTGGCCTCAAACTCACAAAGATATACCTGCCTCTGCGTCCCAAATTCTGGGATTAAAGGAGTGCTCCACCACGCCCGGCTCATTATCTTTTAAAAGGGTTGTATTCAATTTTTACTAAATTCATCTCTACTGTTTTCTTGAATACATTCTCTCCTTTTTTAATCAGTTTATCAGGCTCCAGGTCATACATGTTGCTTAAAGATCAATCTTAAGAACTCATCTTTTCTGACACATCAAGGAATCGATGTACTTTCCCTCCGCAGTTTTGGCCTCTTCATCTGACCTCTAACTTTTCCTCCGTGCTCTTCCTTAGTAGTTCTTTACTATTAGGAAACTGCTAAATGTTATTCGCATGTTCCAGGATTCACTTCTTTCTACTTCTAATTCATGTCTTTACTTTTGTTATTGCTCCCATTTCATAAGGCTTATCCGATAGAAGCTGTGATTCACAACAATTTCATTAAAAACCTCAGCCTTTGAGCAGTGGCTCTGGGGAAAATCATCATATACTTACAAGCAACCACAATTATTTTTAACCTAAATTTTCTTCTTATATACACCATAATTTCCTATGGGAAACAATTTTACTTTTGAGAAATGTTTCTATAGATTACAGGTTTATGGGTATAAAAATAAAATTCTAAATTTAAAATGTTTACAAAAACTACTTAAAAATATTTTTAATTTATGCATATGGGGCTGGAGAGATGGTTCAGCAGTTAAGAACACTGGTTGTTCATGCAGAAGACCCAGGTTCAAATCCCAGCACCCACATGCCTGTAACTCCAGTTCCAGGGGATTCAACAGCCTCTTCTGTCCTCCGCGGGCACTGCACGACATGGGTACACTTTACCTACACGTAGGCAATACACGTATACACATAAAATAAAAATATTTTAAAATGTATGTGTTTGAGTGTATTGCCTGCATGTACATAATGCACTCGAATCATGCAAAGTCTTCAGAGATCAGAAGAGGGTGCTGACCCCTTTGAACTGGAGTTATATATGGTTGCTAGATACCATATGGATGCTGGGAACTGAACCAGCTATGGTGATTCATACCTCTAATCAGAGTACTTGGGAGGTAGGCAGAACTCTGTGAGTTCCAAGACTGGCCTGGTCTATACAGTGAATTCCAGGCCTGCCAGGGCTATAGGGAGAATACATGTACAAAAGAAGTTTTGTATAGGTACACTGTACATGGATAATGAAAAATAAAAATTTATAATCATGGCTGGACGTGGTAGTGCACGCCTTTAATCCCAACACTCAGGAGGCAGAGGCAGGCGATCTCTGTGAGTTCGAGGTCAGCCTGGTCTACACAGTGAGTTCCAGGTCAGCTGGGGCTACAGGGAGACCCTGTCTCAAAAAGACAAAAAAAAATTTATAACCATAAAGGAAAATGTAAAGCTAGTACTACAAAATTACCTAATTGAAAAAGCCATGTAATTACTAAGTTACATATAATATGTATAAAATAATGAAAAATATGGACACTGTTGAGATGAAAATAATTTATTATATACTCAATAGATCATTAAAACATATATCCCACCAAAAGCTAACTTGAAGATATATAATTTCTGAATACTCTTTCAAACTTGTTACAAACAGATCTGTAGTCCAGATGATCAATTTCTTCTTCTCAAACAATGATAGTACTTGAAAGATACGGAATTCAGAAGGAACCTAAAATACCATAGAAACCCATAATAAATAATCATGATAGAACAGTATATTAACTTAAAAATAAAAGCCAAAACATTTGTATTTAGAAAATTAGTGAATCATGTCAGTAAATTTATGTAAAAACTACTACTTATGATATATAAAACTACCATTTTAATTGCACTTATTAAGGGACTGCAATCTTAACTTGGGTAATATTTTTCTAGTCTTAACATGATCAATAAGAGAAATTTGAATACTTTATAGTATTTATAATAGCATTTTCTACATATAAAACGTTGGATGGCTAAGTTGGTAGTGGATAGCCAAACACATTCTAAAAATGTAGTATCCGTATTAACCAGTCCTTACTAAGGAAATCTTTTCAAATTAGACACTTGGACCTTATTCCTAGTGATTCTGATTTATTGGCTCTAGTATAGACTCTGGACATTGAAGCCTGTCCTTAGTGGTTCTCTCTATATTAATAATACATTAGAATGCCTTTGATGTTTTGACAAATTCTAATATCCACGCTACACTCTGAAGTCATAACCAATCAAACTTTGAGAACAGAAAACAGAATTCAACAATCATATTTTCAAAAGCTTCCCAGGTTACCCAAATGTGCAGCCATGTTTGAAACTGAATGTTATGAAAGACTCTGGCCATCACTCAGCCTGGTAATCAATATTCTTAGATTTCTCTCTTACTGAGCTATCTGAAGCATAGCATGTCCTGTCTTGCAGGTTTCACTTTTTCTTTAGAAAAGACAAACAGTAAGACCCTTTCATTTATCAAGGATATTTTCATTAGACTTTGGATGTAAAATTTGCTCTTCTAATTTTGAATTTACATGGAAACCTAGTTACTCTTCCATATATTTATTGTTAAAAAAAATTTTTGTCCCAAACTTTAGATGTTTAGAATAGAAGAGATATCCTGGTTCATTCTGTCAACTCGACATGACCTAGAATCACCTGAGAAGAGTCTTAACGAAGAATTATCTAAATCACACTGACCCGTGGGCATATCTGTGGGGGACTTTCTTAACTGTTAAAAGATGAAGACCTGGAGAACTGTGGGCAGCACTGTTCCTTGGGCAGGGAGTCCTCAACAGATTGAGAGGAAGCTGCTGAGAGCAAGCTAGCAAGGAGCCATGGGTTTATTTCCTCTCTCCTCTTGAGACTGTGGATCTGATGCTTTAAATCACTGCCCTGAACTCCCTGCAGTAATGGACTTACAAGCTGGTATTGAAGCTAAAATACCCTTTCTTCCCTATGTTGCTTTATGTTAGGTTGTTTCCAACAGCAAATGAAACTAGGACAACATCTAAACAGGAAATATCATCAAATAGAAAGCATGTTAATTAGGATTAGAAAATACACATAGAGAAGAAACAGACTATTATCTTGTGGTAAAGCAAATTTATACACTAAAGTGACCTGATTCACTAACTTTCCCTGAGAAAACTATTTGATCTATATTGTAGCATAGACTATTCAACAATGACTCTGAAATACACATATAACAGTTGTTTGGGCTACAAAAATAATTTGAGAAATATTTGAATAAAGTATAAAAATACTGCTTAATCTGGATCAAAGGTAGAAGATGGACTAAGCATTACTAGAACAAAATAAAACAAAAAGAAACAAAACAAAATAAAACCAGTGCCCCAAAAAGGATACAAGAAAGGATACACTTTGTCTGACAGTATTACAGCAGTATTTACGCAGGAATGCTTCTAAAGAAGAACAGCAGAATGCACTTTAATTTTTTTCTAATCTTCAGCAATAGATTTAAAAATGAATTTCTAAAATACATTACTGAAATTCCTCAATTTTTCCTCTACTGTATTTATGAGACATCTGATTATACCATATACTTGAATGTGAACTTAAATATTTTAGGCATCTCAGAGAGAATAAAAAGTGCCCAATTCTTCCTCCTAGCTAATATTTTTTCAGTTAAACAAAAGCGATTTGACCAATCTATTGCATGATCTTCCAGTTCCCAAGGGAAAAATGACTAAAAGTAAAATCTCCCTCCCCAAAAGAAACCCAGAAAAGAATATCCCCACTGATTTCTCAAAGTAACATAAACTTATGAATTTAAATGTTTAATTCCACTTGTAATTATTAATGTACCTACTTTAACTTTAAAGAAACATTTTTATGTGTATGAGTATAATGTCTACATGTATATAAGTGCACCCTTGTCACGCAATGCCTGCAAAAGAGTGTGTCGGAACCCCTGAAACTGAAGCTATGGATGGTTGTTAGCTGCCATGTGGGTGCTAGGAACTAAACCCAGGTCATCTCTAAGAGCAGTGTTCTTAACTGCTGAGCCATCTCTCCAGTCCCTTGGGGTTTTTTTTGAGATAGGGTCTCCCTGTAGTCCCAGCTCCCTGTTCACTATGTAGAACAACAGGCTGGCCTTGATCACAGAGATTCACCTGCTTCTTCCTCCTGAAGGCTAGGACTAAGGGCAAGTACTGGGACTAAAGGTGCACTACCATGCCCAGCCAATTTACTTAAGTAGTAAAACCAGCTGTTCTCCAGACAAATACCACAAAATCACATTTTTGTGAAATATGTTAATAATTTTATTTACATAGCACTTTAGCGTTTTGGGGGGCGATTATTTTAGACAAGCTCCCCCTGTAGCCCAAGACGGCTTGGCACTTGCTTTGTAGATCAGGCTGGCCTCAAACTCAGAAATCTGCCTACTTCTGCCTGGGATTAAAGACATGCGCTACCACACCCAGAGCACTGTAGCATTTTTAAGAGTTGGAAGGAGTGTTTTAACTATTTCCTTGTGGAGTTTTCCAAAGTGTGGTCTCCAGACTCAACAAATTCTCTGCTACCTAGGAACTCACTGATAACATAAATAGTCCAGTGTCAACAAAAGGAACCAAGTAGCCCTGGCTTGTCAGACACTTTGCACTTTCAACACCGTAAGTCCTACATATGAGAAATTCCTTAGTCATAGGAAAAACAGGACTACTGGTCACCCACCTCAGACTACTGAATCAGAAACTCTAGGAGGCAAGAGTCAGCTATCTGTTTGATCAAGATTTTCAAGTAATTAAAATATAGAATTTAAAAACCATCTCCTTAGGCAGAAAAAAAAAAGAACAAAATAATTGACATATTTTCCCTTTATAAAATTATCTAAGCCTATTCATATACATTAACTTTATTCTAAGGTTGTAATTTTGAAGTTTAATGAGAATTAAGTTTACACAAAGAATTTTCTAGAAACTTCATAAAACACATGTGAATTAGTACTTCACAAGGCTCTTAATCTTTTATTCCAAGAAAATGTCTTTTCATGTTTTATTCACACTTACCTTTACTCATTCTTATCACTTTCTTTTTCCTTCTTTAGAATCTTGTTTCGGTCTAGCAGATCGAGCAAATTGCTAATACATTAAGGTTTCTTTTACAAACATAGAAATAATTTTTTCTAAATAATTGTAAGATCTAATATACAGTAATACATAGGATACAGTAGCAATATTCTAATAAAAAGTAGAGTACCAAACAGTCTTTATATTTTTCCCCTAATTCCTGCATTATTTTCACAATTTGTGAGGTGTAAAGAAAAAAACTCAGTCTTTTATTTACAATCATTACTTTCCCAATCTGCACCTTTGGCGATTTCTGGTTTAAAAATTGCCATGTACTTAGTAAGGCATGGTGGCACACACCTTTAGTCCCAACACTTGGGAGACAGAGGCATTAGCAGGTGGATCTCTGTGCAATCAAAGGCAGCCTAGTCTTTATAACGAGCTCCAGAATAGCTGGGGCCACAGGGAGGCCCTGTCTAAGAGATCCCCCCCCCCCAAAAATGCATTTACTACTAAAACAGAGTTACTAATTATATAGGTTAGATATTAAAATTATTCAAGCAGAAATGTGAATTATAGTAAAATTATAATGAATTCCTTCCAAGTGACTCTAAATATATTTCTAAATACCATCTCTCGATCTTAGCATGAGGAAGTAATTTTGAGCTTCACAAATGAATAAACTTGGCTGAAATTCAGTAAGTTACATTACAGAAGTTACCCCACTTTCCAATAAAGCTCTGAATTAAGACCATCATCTGACTTTGCTAAGGCATGTTTAACTATTAAGGAATAACTCAAATTTGAATGCTAGCTGTTGAGATTATTATAAAGGATAACTTGAGAATTAAGTATTATATATACATATGTGTATATATATCTCCTATTGCTAAATATAAAATGGTTTTAGAACAGACTGATTCAAAGGATACAACCACCATAGGTTTTCCATAAAGAACATAGCCATTAGCTTCCTTTAGGGCTTTTGCTGCTGCTTTTTCATTTGGAAGTCCAATGAAAGCTTGTCCTTTCATGCGGCCTTCTTTCATCAAACGTATATCAAACCTGGAAGTCAAAGAAAGTCATTTTGATTCAAAGGACATCAAACAATTTTAAAGCAATAAATCAAAATGTCTTACCAATTTAAAATGCTATTTCAAGTAAAGACAGCAATATTATCTAATAACAAACATTACAGTTTATAAATTTTTGTTCTTCATAATAGTTTGTAAAATTCTTATATTTAAACTATTACATATGTAATTTAAAAATTGTATTAGTAGTAAGGATAAAACATCTTATTTTGTAGTTTACAATAATTAAAGCCAGGATTCAATTATTATAGCTGTTATCATCAACAAAGCAAAATGAAGTTTTTCTTTTCATCTGTCCTTCTTAGGTTTCTTACAATTGGTTCACTATTATTTGCTCAAGTGATATGATGTGTGTATCTTCAAAAATAAAGGCTAAGAGGAACCAAAAGTAAGTAATTATTGAACTTACATTATAAGCAGCTACAGGCATTTAGCACAGACAGGAACTCAAAGCCACGATTTTATTAGTGGTACCTAGAGACACTAAGTGACTCTTCAAACATGACTCAAGTTACAGACAGTATCTTATTAATCTACAGAATATTCATTTTTCAGCATCTTTGAGAGAAAACTATATTCAAAAGCTATTCAGAAAAACAAGGCTGCAATTTACAAGTAAAACATGGTCTAATATACCAAAACAAAGAAAAAAAAATTAATTGATGGGACTAGGGTAAAAGCTGAACTAGTGAAGTGATGTGACAGCACAAGGACATGGGTTCAATACTGTGGTGGTTTGAATGAAAATGTCCTCCCATAGGCTCCAAGTATTTGGACATTTTGTCCCCAGATGGTGGTGCTGTCTTGGGAGGACTTAGAAGGTGTGGCTATCCTAGAGGGAGCACATTACCACCGGGGGTGGGCTTAGAGAGCTCTTAAGCCTTGCTGGATCTCCAGTTGCTCTCTTGCTTCCTGTGCCTGCTTGAAGATATAGAGCCTAGCTTCAGCTTCTGTTCCAGCCACCTATGGCCAGCATGCCTCCCTCACATGAGAGACTGTAATTCCCCTGGAACTGGAAGCTCAAATAAATGTTTCCTTCTATAAGTTGCTTTGGTCAGTGTTTCTAACACAGGAACAGAAAAGTGACTAATAGAAACACCCTGAATACTCAATTAGAGGGGGGAAAAAAAAAAAAAGCTGCCAGACATGGTGGTGCATGCTTGTAACCTGTAATCCCAGAATTAGAGAAGATGGGTGCCCCTGGGGCTCACTGGCCAGCTAACCTAGGCAGCTTGGGGAATTCCAGGGCAGCCAGAAACCCTGTCTTTAACAAAAAGGCTGCATTTGGAGGTATAGACATATACATACATGTGTACATGTGCAACCACCTAAATTGCATGCACTCTGCTGTATGCATGTGCACAAACACATATATACACACAGTAAGTATCAAGTGAAAATGGGAAATTTTCAAAAAGTTCATTGCTATTATTACTAGTCTCATGGAAAACAACCACTTAGGAATTTGTAATTTTTTTCCAAACAGAATTTTTTTCCTGCTCAATACTGGAAACAGAATTTTTACATAGCATATATATGTACTTATACATATGAATTATTTTTTCTTTACTTTTTTCAACCATTTGGATTCACTGGTAGTATCGAAGGAAAAGAACAAGCATTTCACATTGTGAGAAAAGAAACTTCTGATATCCATGAGGAGACAATCTAAAAATAGATTATAAATAGCATGTCTTAAGACATTGTGCTACCTGAATATAAGCATCCAGAAGGGTACATAGAACAGATACAATTTTAAAAGTATTGATATCAGATGAAAATTAAACAAGCTAAAGTCCTTTCTGCATTTTACCAATACCCAAGTCTTTAATCTCTCCTACTTCTTCCTAGCTTCTATTTATATGACCAAGAGTTGTTCTTTGTTTGAAATTAATATGGAATTATTCTTTAGTTTGTATTTTATTTGTGTATGTGTGTGTGCCTGTTTATCTGACTATGAACCACACATGTCCAGCAGCCAACTGAGGCCTTAAGGTGGCCTGAACTGGAGCTACAGGCAGTTGTGAGCCACCCATTGTGGGTGCTGGGAATCTAACCTGGGTCTTCTGCAAGAACAGCAAGTGCTCTTAACCGCTAAGCAAGCCATCTCTCTAATTCCATAATATGGAATTCTAAACACTGAAATTCTAACTCAAGCATTATGTTTTACACCATTTACAGACTGTATCCCTCTTTTGCTTTCACAAACTTGTGAAGTTTGCTTGAGGAAATTCAACTAAAGAATGAACCTCCCTTACTACAATATAAGTCTGAAGAAAATCTGCCTGATTACTCTAAGTTCCGGATGAAACATTACATCAACGTTTCAAAGTACGGTGGTTGAACGAGGAGCGTCAGCATCAACCGCGACCTTTTTAGAAATGCAAATCTATGAACCTTGCCTCCCTAGAACACAAAAATCTGGAGATAGACAGAGAAGGACATTTAACTGATCTCTCCAGGTAATTCTTAGGAAATGTAAAAGTTGAATACATATGTTGAAGTGTCAAAGGTTTTGACAGAATTTATCAGAAGGCCTGAATTTGTAAATATTTACTAGATTAATCTGAACAGTTACAACAAATATGGCCTGAATTAAAATACTCCATCTTTCCTATCCATCCACTTACAGACAGATGCTTACCTATTCTTGTTCTAGCCCTCTATTTTCATGTGGGTTTTAGCATTAAAGAGAAATTCAGGCATTAACCAAACATGATAAATTTGTAACAGATAAAACATAATTTGAGCCAGACCTAGTAGCACATGCCTTTAATACCAGCACTTGGGAGGCAGAGGCGAATGGAGGCATTTCTGTGAAATGGAGTTCAGGTCAGCTGGGGACACAAGGAGACCCTGTCTCAAAAAGACCAAATACAAAAAAATAAAAACAAAAACCAGAAAACAAACCAAAACTAACATAATTTGAGGTTATACCTGCCACTTACATGATCCGCTGTGTTTCTGATGAAAAGTCAACGTATCTTCCAAAGATAAATTTAAGGTCCTAGAATTTAAGGAAAAAAAAAAAAAAAAAAATTAAAGACAAGACGGAGAAAAAGTAAAATAACAAAATCAATTTATAAATTTCAACTTACCTTTTCTTGAACTTGTCTAGCTAAATTCTTTACATAAATTCTACAATTTGGTTCACCAGGTTCGTAACTTCTAAAAACTGAAAGTGTTTCCATTTCTTTTCAAGAACAAGGGAAAACAGAACATAAAATAATTGTATCAATTTTTCAAATAAAACTATATCATCAATTTTAACTGTTATATAGGCAATGGTAAGCTTTATGAAAATGTTAACAGACAATAGTAGCAATATTACTAATGGATATACAAATAATCATTAAAAATATAAAAAGATAATATAAAAAATTAACTTGCTTAAAAATTTTCAATTAAGCAGAATAAAAATGTTATAAAACAGTATTGAAGGTTTTTTAAGAGGTGCCACTTTATTAAAAATACTATATCACACTAATGCATTTGTATTAATATTTTACTTAAAACTAAATCCCGAAATCTTTCTCAAACCTAAGAATGCAGTAATCAAAATCAATGATCAGAACTTCTAGGCAAATCAAGGCCTCTCAGCTCCTTCAGAGCTCCTCCTAGTCACTGTCCATATGTGAACTGGACAACTCGATTTTATATGCAAAGACGTTAATTTGGAATTTGATTTCTCATTATAGTAGAAAAAGATACTATACAACAATGAAAAAAATTCCTAATTTTCCATATATCCCTGGCTGTTGTGGAACTCAGAGATTATAAAGGTGTATGCCACCACTCGTAGCTCAAATACAGTTAATCTAATCACATTTAAATAATAACCTTGCATGTAACACTGCAAATACTATATGTAAGGAATTTTCCCTGTATAAAATCTGAATTCCAAAAATACAAAGCGGTGTTAACTAGTAGTAACTGGAAAGAGACACGCATGTGTCTACCTTAAAGTAAATGAAATCAAGAGATTTGTTTCATTTTTGTAATTAAGGAAATGTAAAATGGAAATAGAGAATAGAAGATGGATTATGTGCTGGCTTATTTCCATTATTTTGTTACATTACCTTCTCTAGAAATTCGACCCTTTTCCAACTCCCTTCTAGAAATACATTCTGAGGGCATATCATCAGAATCTTCTTTAATTTCTTCTGTGATGTTCAAATTAGGTTTAGGGAAGATCTTTCCAAATCCTGTATTTGAAGCATCAACTTCAGTGGCTAGTGAATCTAAGAGTTCAACATTAACATTAGTCATTAAAAAACCTCTTGCTTCAAAACATATTTTAAGTTTCTTTTCCCGTTCTATACTTAATAAGGAATCATGTAGTATTATTAGTAAGGTATCTCAGTGTTTTAGAACAGGTAAATTTTTCCTGTAAAGTTCAGAGTAGTATTCGTCACTTTTGCAGACCAAGGACTGACTTCACGCCTGACTACTCAGTTGTCATTGTAGCATGAATACAGCTATAAACAATATCTAATAAGCCAAATAAATGGCTGATTTGTGGTGTTTCTTAGAGAACAAAGAGGAAAGAAAACTAATTCAGATTTAGCACACCCAGTTGGATGTGCAAAATGAGAAAGTGATTGAAATATTTAGCGGTCAGGTGTTTTTGTTGGGATACACTAATTGGTATTTTGTTGAACCTACCCACTCTGAAATTTTAATAACTGTGTAATTAATTAAATTACATAATTAATGGTGTTCTAATTGAATATAGTCATTCAAGATCATTTACAATAGTTGTGAAAACTTCATTGAATATAGTCACTCAAGATCATTTACAATATTTGTGACACCAGAATATTGTGAAGCAATATTTATTCCTCAACAAAAATTAGATTAGTATCTGCACATGACAACGAAATAAACACAATTAAAGAACATATTTCCATCTGATTGTACTAAAAATCCCATTAGCTTTTCCACCCTACCAAAAAAAAATTGTAATCTTTACCTTGTAAGAACAAGAATTTCACATTTAAGAGATTAGCTAAGTAAATTTAAAAAGTGTTAACTTTCTATTTTGGATAGCAACATGCTAGATTTATAAATAATCAATTTTAGCACCTGCAATAATTAAATGGAACTGACAGAAACTGTTAAGAGAGGCTTAAATACTACTAAAAACATTCTAGCTAAGCCTGAAAAGAAAAAAATGGAAACTAAAAGGCTGGCTGGGGAAAGGTTACAAAGAACACGCTACACTGAGGATTATAAAAATCTTAATTTAAAGGCAGTTACACAAACAGAACTTCTATGGTCTAAAAACATCAGTAACAAAAACGTCAAATGCTTCCACTGTCACACTTCAACGTTACTGCTTTCACAGTGACACAGAACAAGATGATAGACTGCTTTTCATACAGGCAAAATCTTTTTAATTAACCAAGCTTAAAGCTGCACTCCATAAATCCATGTAATTTTATGTACCAATTATAACAAAAGTAGGCCAAGGAAGGGTGACTAGCTATGAAATGAGAAAATAACAGAAATAACAAATACTGAAACACAAAAAGCTACCTGAAAAGACAGTATTTTCACAAACTATCAAAAAAGACACTGTCTTAGTTTCTCCATTGCTTTGACAAGACACTCTGACAATACCACCTTGGGGAGGAAAGGGTTTATTTGGCTTATATCTCCCGGGTCACAGTTCATCAGGGAGCCCAAAGTAGGAACTTGGCAGGAACGTGGAAGCAGGAGCTGGAGCACAGGCTATGGAGGAATGCTGCTTACTGGCTTGCTCCCCTGGCCCCTGCTCAGCCTGCTTTCTAATGCAACACAGGACAACCTGCTCAGGGGTGGCACCACCCACAGTGGGCTGGGCCCTCCCACATCACACAACAATCAAGAAAATACTCCACAGACATGGCCAGAGTCCAGTTCAATGGAGGAAATTTCCCAATTGAGGCTCCCTCAATGCAGGTGTGTCAAGCTGACACTACAGCTATCCAGCACAGACACTAAAACTAATTCACTTCTATTTCAATCCTTACTAGAATTCTACTCTGTATTACATATGTGACAAGAAATATACTCTAGTATTTTCTTTACCAGATTAAAAAGGGGCTGAAGAGGGGCCTCAATGGTTAGGGCAGCTTGCTCCACAACCAAGATGATTGGAGCTTGGATCCTGGAGCCTATGTAATAAGCCAGATGTTCCCTGCAAAGGCCTATAACCCCAGCTCTGAGGGGGACAGACACAGGACGATCTACTATTGGGTCTTTCTCATTCCAGCCAAGCAGAAACATGAGCCCCAGGCTCAGGAAAAGACCCGGCCTCAGAGAACAGGCTAAGAGTGACAGAAGAGGACAGCAGACCCCGTTTTCTAACACCCTCACCCCCCACACATAAATAAATCTTTTATTAAAATGTAAGAAACACCTCAAAGCATAAAAGCTACACTTAGAAGACTGATATGACTCTACTATGTACTACTACCCGGCAATAAAAAGGTATTTGTTCTAACCTGGTAAGTTATTCTCACTAGCCTGTAAACTCTAAGAGTTGCCCAAAGAGCCTGTCATATAACGAACTTCAGCAAAAAGAAAAATGTGCTTTTACCTATGTAGGATGCTTTAGATTTAGAATGCCTTCTACAGACGTGTATAAAAGCTTGGTCTCTAAGCACAGCAATATTTTCATCTGTAAAATATGGAGTCTTCAGATCATTGTGGGTATGCTCTTAAAGGGTGTTGTAGGAGCCAGTCTCTGGCCATCCCACTCTGCTTATGCTGGATACAGTAAAGTGAGCAGCTTTCTGTCACATACTCTTCCATAGGCCTGACCATGGATGGCTGAACCTCTAAACTGTGAGTCCAATAAATTAGCCTTTCCTAAATTGTATGAGGTACTCTGTTAGAAACATAAAGCTAGGAGACAACAATATAAAGTCTAGAACACACAAACACACACACACACACACACACACACACACACACACACACACAGTTACTAGCATTAGGTACCTTCACATAACAGGATAGAAGATAAAGGGATTTGGTATTAAAACTTTTTACTTTAAATGTTTCTGTTGTGATTAAATTTCTAAGTTTGTATTATCTTTGAAATTTGAAAAGGTTTTTGTTTAAAAGATGTTACAAAGACACAGTTATACATATAATTTATCATAAAAAACAAATTAATAGCTAAAATAAATAAAAATAATTGTAATTTATATTTAAATTAATGTCTTTGGTAGCTAAAGCTCTTTTATAACTTTCAGAAAAATAAAATAAAATAAAAATGTGTGTGAAATCTACAACTCCAGAACAGTAACATCACTAGTGTCCTAAGAAATTATATAAATCATTATACAATTAGGCTTATAAAATCAAAGAACATCTTGTCAAACAAGCAATGAAAAGTTGTGTTATATTATCAGCATTTGTATGAGCAAATGCCCCTACCTAAACTCCACAGACGCTATCACTAGCACAAAGGAGCAAAAAGCCAAAGTGGTGGTGCACATTTGCGACTCTAGCATTAAAGAAGCTGAGAAGACTGAGATCAAGGGAAACCTGGGCTACATAGAAAACAATCTCTTACGAGACCAAAAAAAAAAGTGAAAAAGTTTCCATTTAGTGTATTTTAGTTACATGAGTTGAAAATAGTATTATTACCTATTTTATTGATTTCAATTTTGGATTATTTATTTTAGATAGTCCCTTGTAACCCAGGCTAGCCTTGAATTATTAGTCAAGGATAACCTTGAACTTAGATCCCCCTGCCTCCAGCTCCCAAGTGCTGCAACTACAAGCTCTGTCACCATGCCCATTTCATGCCAGGCAATCTCTCTACAAACTAACTGAGCTATATCCCTAGACTGTAACTGCATATTTTATTTGCTTATTTTTTCACGTGTTTAGGCACACTGCCTGCATGTCTATAAGTGCAACCGTGTCGTGCAGTGCCTGTGTGCCTGCAGAAGCCAGAAGAAAGCGTCAGATCCCCTGGAACTGGAGATACTGATGGTTGTTAGCTGTCAAGTGGGTGCTGGGAACTAAACCTTTGTTTTCTGTAAGAGAAGCCAGTGCTCTTAACCGCTGAGTCATCTCTTCAGGCCCTGTATTTGTATTACATATAAAATTTAATTCTAACATAAAAAGCAGACTTTAGCATATGAAATAACTAAAATATTCTTACCAGAATTCTTTTCCTCATAATTTTGTTCCCTTTCTGAATCTTTCTTCAATGCTGCTGGCATGTTGGCAGATATATGGAATTCAATTCTTTTATTACTTACAGATTGTGGTTGGTCAAATACATCTGAAGGTAACAGCACAGGATGCAAATTGCTATTTACAAACAATCACAGCATAAGTTAATCAAAAGAAAATTAAAAGATTATTTCAAATTCTCGTTACATTTTAAAAAGCTAACAATGATTAAACATTCACATTACAGGCACTGCACACAGTGACTTAGATAGTTCAATAAAGTTCAACAAGTGTGCTAATGGTACTATAAACACCTAGTTTACAAATAAGGAGACTGCAGTGAAGGGCGTCAAAAATTTACATAGTCCCTTGGTAAATGAGAATCTTAGGACTCATTTATTGATTTTAAACATATTTGCGTATCTTCACACATGCACACACACAAGGTTCTTCTACGTCAATATAAGAGGAAATTTTTTTGTTTGCTTAACATTTATTTATTGATTGATGTATTTATTTTGTGTGTGTATATGGGTGGTGGACACACTTGCCATGCAGGTCATGTGGAGGTCAGAGAACACCTAAAGTCATCAGTTCTCTCCTTCCAATATTGGGTATCCTGGGAATTGAATCCTGGTCATCAATCTTGGTAGCAGGCACCTCTACCCACTGAATCCTTGCTTTGTTTTTTGCATTTTGTTTTTGAAACAGTGTAAAACAGGCTGGAGCATAATGGAGGAGAGAAAAGTCCTTCACCTTCTGATCATTCTCCCTCCCCCTCCCAAGATCTGGGATTACAGGTGTATACCACCTAACTTAGCAGTACTAGAGTTTTTAATACACTATGTAGTCAGAGCTATGCTATATTATATTAGTGAATTTCTGTGAAAATAAATATGTAACTGCTCAGTAATTTTCCCCCCTGTCTCTCTTCTATTTATTTTTTATTCTTTTTTAAAATTTTTTACTTTTTATGCAGATTATCTGATAAAATAATATTTGGATATAATGGATAAAATAAAATTATTAAAAGTAGTCTAAGTAGTTTATTTTTAATGTTTTAGTGTGGATACTGGACAACAATGTGGCTCCCATTGCTTCTGTTGTTCAGCAGGGCTACAGAGGTTAAAAGTATGGGACTGCAGTGTCAACACAAAAACGATGGGCAGCATTATAATTTATGTATCATACTCTATGTAAAACAAAATAAAGATTAAAATCCTACTCTCTTAAAACTGGGGAAAGTTAAATTTGAAGGATACCTTTCTTAGTGGATTTACAACTCCAGGAGAAATATAGCTTGCAGAAAAGCTAAAAAGTTAAAACTGTAAATATTGCTAAGAGAGAGTTAATTCAGATAACCAAAAGCAAAAGGTGGTAAAGTAAAATGAACAGAGTATTATCAAATGCTGGTATACAAAAACAATTTGTGAATTATTACATGGTGGCGCAGGCCTTTAATCCCAGCACTTGGGAGAAAGAGGCAGGCAGATCTCTGAGTTTAAGGTCAGCTTGGTTTATATAGCAAGTTTCAGGTCAGCTGGGGCTACAGGGAGACCCTGTCTCAGTAAGACAAAAAAAGAAAACAAAACAAAAACAAAACCCAAATCTGACAACTAGAACCCCAGCTAAACTAAATAAACTAATAAATTGTCAGCTTGAATAATCTTGAGTTACACAATGAACAAAGTACAATCAGACAACCTTCATTTCATAAACATAAGTAAAATTACCTGTGTGAAGCAGATGAAGGTACGTTCAGCATATCCTTTATTTTTTGCTTTTTCCTCACTTGGCGAGGCTTCACTCTTTTGGGTCTTTTGGGCTGAAGTTTTGCTAGTTCCATTAGTTTGGTCATTCTATGTTGAGGAAAGGAAAGGTAGGTAAGATTTCACTTTCTACAACATGATTTCTAATATGGAATAGATTTACATGGAATCAGGATAACTTTTAAGCCAACAGTAGACACAATCAATTTGACTAATGATCACCTTCTAAATTGACTTATATCATTTAGATATTACTTTGAAAAAATTTAATAATTCACCTAATTAAAGTTGTTTTTCATTATGACCATTAATTGTACAAATGAAATGCTAAACAATGGAACAAGATAATATAATTTATCATTTGGCTTTTATTTAAACTAGTGAATATACTGAAGTATTTCACTGAAAAATATTCTCTACATATTTATTACAAATAAATCAATTATAAACAAGGTTAACAATTTGAGGAAAAGTTTCCAAATACTACCTGGTAAAGTTGCTTACATGCAATAATCAGGAATTGACAACTGGTATCTTATATATACTTTTGTCTATTATGACTACAGACAGTTTATGTTTAGAATACATAGATCTTCTTTAGGGATTTTTCTATCTTCCAGAGAAAAGCAATTTATAACTAGTTACAACTCTATCCCACAGGGTTTCATTTATGAAACTTGAAGGTGAAATACAACCAAATATAGAGGAGAGGCAGAGGGTGTGGTTATAAAAATGCTTTCTTTCAACAAATAGAAAAAAAAAACGTAAGCACATGTGACATAGTTTAAAGCTTCACAACAATCAAGCCTTATTATCAATTTCATTAAAAGTCTGGTATCATGGTACATACTTGTAATTCCAGCACTCAGTAGGCAGAAGCAGGAGAGAAAGAATTTCTGGAAGTTCAAGGCTAGCCTGGTCTATATAGCAAGTTCTGGGACAAACAGGGCTGCAGAGTTAAGACCCTGGCTCAAAAAGCAACCCCAAACAAAAACAAAACAGAAATGTTACAAAAAATTTAGATAGTCCAAGGTATTCAAATCATACACCTAAATTAAAATTGCTCACCCAAATTATAACAAGCCTATAAAACAAGACCAAGAACATATTAGGCAATCAATAAATACTTGATGAATAAGTTAGTATTGTTGAAGGTCTTGTTATATTTCTAGAAGATAACACACAGGCATGTGTGTTTTAAGACTCAAGATGAATTACTACAGAATTCCACACTACATTCTAAATAGAAATTTACAAAAATGAAAAAGAGTATGGGCTAGACTATATAAAGCATTTCTAATTAGGATTCTAATAATAATTGCTATTTTTACTTAAAAGAAAGCATTTCTAGGGGCTGGAGAGATGGCTCAGAGGTTAAGAGCACCTGCTACTCTTGCAGAGGACCTGATTTGATTCCCAGCACCCACACAGCAGCTAACAACTATCTGTAGCTCCAGTTCCAGGGGAACCGATGTCCTCTTTTGACTTCCCCAGGCATTGCATGACATGGGTGCACTTATATACACCCAGGCAATATACACAGACATGCACATACACACTATACACACACACACACAAAATAATTAAAAATAATTTCTAATTAGTACTATTTAAAAAGTAAAAACTTCTAAGAGTAAAAATTTAACCAAATGCAACCTTAGCAATAAGCATAATATACAAGGTGGAACTGTCAGCTTTGCTGAATACCTCTACTCAGATTCTCTGTTTATTCACCTGCTATAGTTAGCATTCCACCTGCAATTTGATTTTTACATGGAGAGACAATATGCACTGAACCACTACTTAGGTGGACAATAGTTTAGTAAAATTCCTGCTGATTGGGGCTGGGGAGGTAGCTTAGTGGTTAGAAGAATTGGCTGCTCTTATAAAGAACCTGGTTTGGGTTTCCCAGCACCCACATGGCGGCTAGCAACAGTTCCTAACTCCAGTTCCAGGGATCCAACACCTTCTTCTGACCTCCACAGGCACTGCATGACACAGATGTACCTACCTACATGCAAACAATATACTCGTACACATTAAATAAAAACAACAAATATTAAAAAAGAATTCCTGCTGATCATTTGTGTATGTCTTCCAGAGTCTCTGAGTTCTGACTCATGTTAGGAATTCCTTTTATATCTCAACTTCTGTGCCGTTAACTAAAGATGTGTATCATTTGCCCATTAGTTCTTATAAGCTAGGGGTTGGTCCAAGGCTAGCTATCTTCTCTGTAAAAGGTTTTGTACCCACACACTTGGGTACGGATTCGTTGCTTTCCTGCTACTAGAGTAGAGCTGAATCACTGCTGGGACAAAGACCATTGGGATCACAAAGTGAAAAATATTTATTGTCTGGACTTGAAAATGTTTGGCAATTTCTGCATTCCTGTAGGGATTATATATTCAACATTAACAACAGAATATTCCAGAATCTTTAAATAAAATACATGTAAGCTCTCAAGAATCACCAATAAAAAAATAAATGGCCATCAGCAGAAACTACTATGGCTGGTGCTGCACAGACTCCTACAAAAACCCTCTACGCTTCGTTCTGGAGTAGAGTCCAGGGCTACACAAACATTAAATTACTGAATATAAATCTGTAGAAGTTCAAGGCTATGTTCTTATACGTCTTTGCTTAAAGCCCATGAGAGAAATTATATAACTACGATTTATGTGCATTTATGTTAAAGTCAATTTATTTAACATATTGTTGATGCCACTCCCACTCAATACCATAAAAACTCTGGTCTGGTTTTTTTCCGTTCGGTTTTACTGAGCTTAGGATCATTAGGGAGCACTTAAATAGTATGACTAAGAACCATTTTGAATATCCTAAATCACTAGCAAAACAAAAATGCTAAAAGCGTAATAGCAAATAGACCCAGAAAAGAATACATAATACATGTGTACAGCACGAGAGCTAAATGAGAAGGCAGAGGATAACTGGGTATGGAATGTTCACAATAGCCTATTTGTGAAGAGCTCTACTCTAAGGTTGGTGGAACCTGGTGCACAACCTTGGGTTACATGGGCTATCTCTAAAAGGAATTGTGGAACCATGGTTTCTTCCTTTCTCCTTTGTTTCAAGGTTTTAAGGTGAGTAGTAAGTACTATGCTATCTTGCCCATGATGTGTTTAACCAATGGCCCATGGGGCCAGCTGGTCATGAACTGGAACCCCCAAACTGTGACCCAAAACAGACTTTTCTCTTTTTAAATTAATTCACAAGTATTTCATTATAACAATGGAATACTGTTTAACAGTTACTAGATTTGACCTCATTTGGGAACATATGTGCCAAGGATGCAAAATTTTCAGTACATTGTACATACTCATATTTACCAAACACTGTAAATACAGAACAATTTTTGTAAAGAAAAAATAAGAAAAAAACAGGACATTTTAAAAAGGAAAAAAATCCTAATTTTGGAGCTACAAATAAATTTTAGAAGTAAATCATAAATATGGAGTGCACAAGTAATGAGGCTGAAGTGTACTTTGTAATATTAGTATGACCAATCTAAAAAATTATGCTGTACTTAAAATTTTTTTTCCTAAAACGCCAATACATATTTAGCTACTACATATGCTTAAGGAACTGGGAACAGGCTAAGGAAAATCTGAATGTCTCCAATTTTGAAGAGTTAATATACACAGGACACAGGAAGAGCAAGTCCTGCTCACATTCTGATCTGATTCTTAAGAGTCAAATAAGTATTGCACATTACAAACCTCTGTCGGTCCTCCTCATCACTACTTTCATATTCTGATTCTTTACTAGATAATTCTTCATCCTCATCTGGTAAGGGAGGTTCCTCAGGTGGTTGAGGAGATGTAGGTGGAAGAGGTGCATGGAGAGGCATGTAGTCCTCATACTAATTAGAAGAACAAAACACACAGTACAGTAATCTGCAATATTTATAGAAAAGAAAAACAATTTTGTATAATACCTGATTCTTGAGTCTCATCAACAGAATCTTATTAAATATAAATATCTTTTTTTAACCTCATGATATTCCTTAACACATTCAGAGAAAATCTGTGATGACATCTGATTACATCTTTTTTTCCATTTTCCCTGATGTTATAAAAACTGCAAACATGTCTTTGTGTTTTACCATGTAACTGAGTTTCAGCCCATGAAAAAAGAGCATAAAAACTTCCACATACAATCCTCCTTTCGCTTCTGATCTGCAGACTATTGGGTAATACTCTGATCTGTCTGACAGGAACATGAAGACAACTTAGGTTCATTGAATGACTCAGAATAAAATATCCTCCTTCTCTATTTTTGAATGGAACAGACATCACAAAGAAGAAACTCTTATTCCATTATAAGACTAAGAATTTAAGTTGTGATCATTACTACTATCTAATATTACCTTAATTAATAACCCTGCACTATACCAAGAACTAAGTAGGTTGTAGTGTTATGAAAAATTAAACTAACAGTTCATATACTGTAACAGTAGCCAACCCCCCATAAATGTTTTACCTATTTGTATGGTAAAGTAATTTTCCATCAACATTATTAATAGAGTATTACAGTAACATATATTTAAAAGCAGATATAACTTACTACCTAACTATTTAAAAAAATTTAGCAACCTTATTTGTCTTGTCCAAATGAAACTATATTTGAAATCAAACCACAGCAACAGAATTTTTTTATAATTTAGTGAAATACAATTATCTTCTAGGATGCTAGCAATGTTTTGGGTCAAAAAACAGAACACTGGAAGAAAATTTGGCTTCTATTATCAAAAGCACTGCCTTCACATTCTGGTTTTCTTCCACCTTCAGTTCTCAACTTTACTAACAGTTTAGTTTGAATCTGCTCCTTATTTTTCATGTACATCTGAAGTTCTTACAAAAGTTGCAAAAGAAAATTCTAAGCCCTTTCTTACCATTGGAGGTCGTGCAGTAATTGGTCCAAATGGTGTAGGCAAATTCATTTTATTCATAAGATGTAGCACCTTAAAGTGGCAATACATTTAAAATCACAGTGAATTAATCATGATTTAGCTCTTATTTTATGTAATAAAAAATATTCTTGATTAATTTAGTACAAAGGAAAGTTCATCTCTTGCCTGACAGTTAAGGGAAATCAAGGTATCATTAGACCTCAGAACGTTAATCTTCCTAAAATGTCATTTCTATAAATATATTATTTTAATTACCCATCATTAATAATGTTACAGTCTGGCAATGTAAAACCTACAGAAAATATTTCCCTATAATTATTCCTGACTATTTTGAGACTGTGAAACACAAGGAAAAAAGAAAATTCACAACATCTATGTTTTATGCTTCAAAAACATAACTTCTGACAGTGAAAGTTTCCAGCCGCTTGCTGAAGGATGTACTATGTCTTTTCCTTTAAGAATCTCTGTATGTCTGGGGCTGGCAAGATGGCTCAGTGGTTAAGAGCACTAGTTGCTCTTGCAGAGGACCGGGATTCAATTCCCAGCACCCACATGGTAGGTAACAACTGTCTCCAGTTCTGTGGAATTCGACACCCTCTTCTGACCTCCACAGGCACTGAACAGCACGGATGCACCTACCTAGATGCAGCCAATACACTCATACACATAAAATAAAAATAATGAAGTATTTAAAAAGAAAATAATCTCTGTATGTCAATGCCATACTCTCAAGTAACAGCAATCACAATCCTAACGTAGCTTCTGTTCAGTAGTGTCCATTTATACTGTACTGATGACAGTCTTTATTTGAGAAAATTATGTAAAGTTCATGAGATTTAAAACACTGCATATCACAGAACTTATCTGAAATTAGTAAGTTTTTATTATTAAAAATAAGAGTCAGCACAGATTATAAAGACATGATCTATACAGACTCATACTTTGAGGACACGTTTTATTCTACCTACCTGTACATAGAATCTGGGCACACTTGCCAAAGCATTTACTATATTTGCTAGGATTGTGCTTGAAGGTGGTGGGTACATATATTTGAGGCATGAATTTAGAGGAAAAGTCAGCCTACAAAAACAGTAAGATACATGCTTATTACCTTTTAATAATTCCACATCAATAACTCATTTCAAGTAACCTCATAACACACAAAATTGCCCAAATGCTCTATCAGTCACATTATTTACCTTAATCCTTATTCCTATTACATTAAAGGAAAAAAAAGGCATTCCTTATTAGAGCTTATTTACAGCCTTTAACACTTACTTTAACAATTCATACCTCGAAATACTTATTCAACACATTAAATTATATATGGCATATTAAAGAATTCTTGATTTTAAAAAATTACCTTATTTACAACATACATGTGTAATATACATATATACACACAACAATAAAAGCAGAGTAACAAAAAAGTAAATGCGAACCCATGGTTTGGTGCGATTCCATTTTCTAGTGTTAAAATATCTGGTTCTTTCTTCTCTTTATCATCTTCTACAACGTCATCAGACCTAGAACACAGAATCACATGATCTGATCTTTGGAAACAGTAAAAAATTGCATACAGAAAATAAAATTACCTTTTTAAACATGTCATCATGAAATCCATTAAAACAGAAATGCTTTCAAGCATTTCTCCAACAAGAATAATGCGACGGAAGCAAAGTAAGACTCAGCTGAGCACCTGCTTTCACAGCGCGTGTATGAACACCTGTGATAATTCCAAACGATCACAAATAAACTGAAACACATGGTATGCATGCAATAGTGGTACTCAAATTTCCTTAACATGCATCTTTGTCCAAAACTAGAGGCTTGCAAGTCCATATTTATCTCTTTCACCTTCATTTCTTAAAAGTTCTGATCCTAGAAGACTGGGTCTTACATTAAAAGGCCTAAGATTTCGGTATTTCAGTCAAATTCCTAGTTTAGGGTTTACACTCTGAGATACAACTAGTGTAAAGAAACTCTGCAAGGCTCTAAGACAAAAAGTCATAGCTTGGAACTAAATACTGAATTTTGGTATCAAAAACTATGCCTAGACAGAATACCTTGCTATGTCTAATAAAGAGTATTACAGGTTGAAATCTGAAATGCTACCAAATTTGAAACTTTTTTTTTTTTTGGTCTTTTTTTGAGACAGGGTCTTTTTGTAGTCCCAGCTGGTTTGGAACTCACTTTGTAGACCAAGCTGGTCTTGAACTCACAGAGATCCTCCTGCCTCTGCCTCCTGAGTGCTGGGTTTAAAGGTATGCACCACCACGCCCAGCATAAACTTTTTGAGGCAACATGATGCTACCAAGTGGAAAATTCTACATGTGACCTCATTTAGCAGCAGGTCATCATCAAAACACAGGCACGCTAAAATACTAGATGAAATTACCTTCAAGCAATGTGTACAAGGTATATAAGAAGTAAATTATTTCATGTTATGCTTTGAATACATGTCAAAGAGAATCACAATTTGTAAATATTGCAAAAAAATGTTTCTCATCCCCAGACATTTTGGAGAAGGGCTAACAATCCCACGGCTGCCCTTCTCTCACTAGAAGTACAATGCTTTCCACCCTACGTTCCTGCCACTTTGTTGATCCCTCAGTAAATCAAGGCTCAGCTCTTAATATACAACCATAGCAAAAATACTATTTTAAAATTTACTAGAGAAAAGTTTCCTTACAGTTTCAACTTATTTACTACTGTTCTGAAAACAGTCCAATAATTATAAAAGTAACTGAAAACCTGCCCCCCACCGAAACTTCAAAATGGTAGGAAACCCTGAATACCGACATACCTTTTCTTTTTTTCAGTACTTGATGTGGGACACGGGGAATGAACTCGTTCTTGTTCTTTTGCAAATTCAACAACTAAAGTATGACCTAGAAGTTTCAGCTGATGGAGTCTTGTCAATGCCTTCAGTGAAAACAGGAATGAAAATTTTTGATAATCTACCAAAAACCACTTGTTAGTCACGATATAAGAAAATAATTTATACCTTCTTTAGGGTCAATATTGTAAATATACGCTTAGTTATATCCATCTCAGGCTAGTGTGTCTTTACTGATTATCAAAGTGCTGTTTCCTGTACTTTAGTAAACTGAAACCTTGCTAACTCTATTAACTCAGCTTCTATCTAGGCACATGAATATCGTTAGAAAACAAACAGCAAATCTCCCTGGTCTCACATTAGCTTCAGACTTCAAATCTCAAGATGGGTCTACTGATGCCACACAATTACATGTCACAATCTTGGCCTACTTTCTGTCCTAATCTAAGATTTGGGCTTCCTCCTTGACCTCACAATACTTCTCCCCTTCTAACCTCACATCTCGCCTCCTCTGAGACAAGTAGAGACTGGATGAGAAACTCTTAAATAGGACTCCCCACCACCACCATGTGCATCTGCATAGTCTATTCTCCATTTACTCTCACAAATTAACTGTTCATATTTATATCCAAATCCAGTGGCTCGACTTACCCCTAAATCCCATCTTTATCTCATCTTTCTTTAGTTATTATCTAAACATACACAGGAAAGTATTCCACACTGTTTTAAAGATTTATTCAAGGGCACGAGCTGTCATTCCCTAGCAATAAGTATCACATGATATCACCGAGAGATAATCCTAGTCAAAAATATGATAGATACAAGTTTAATGCCTCTTATCTGAAATGTCTGGAACCAGAATTCAGGTTTTAGGTCTTAGCATGCTGTTGAGTACTTCTACAGTCATAATCAGGAATCTTGGGGGATAATTTAGACTTAGGTCTAAATATGAGATTGATTTATTTCATTTTTAACTTATACACTTAAATACAGACTTCATTTCTCAGGTTTCTAGCACCACCATGAGTTCCTCCTCACTTACAGCTCTTCATGCCCCTAACCAGTGTTTCCTGAACCTGAAAAACCAATTTCCTCATGCTTTAGTCTTTCCAAATGATTCCTTGAATTATACCTTTTAATACTTAAAATATGTTGCATTATAACATTATAGAATGAGCCACCTAATATCCCTTAGAACTTGGTTGTTTTTAAGTTATAGATGAAATTAGCCTTACTTTAACAGTTAATCTACAATTCTTATAAATCTTTTATATTTATATCCTCTGAGTACATGTAAGTGCACCCCAGCCACATACAGTGCCCACAGACGTCACAAGAGGGCGTCAGATGCTTTGGAACTGGAGTATAGGTGGTTGTTAGCCACCATGCAGGTGCTAGGAACCAAACCGAGGTCCTTTCCAAGAGCAGCCAGTGCTCTTAAGCACTGAACCAGCACCAGCTCCACTAATCAGTATCTAGACACTGAACAAGCTCTGATAGCTAACAAGCTAATTATAGCCTGTTGGACAAACTTTCAGGCTATGAATGATTTTGCTTTTAAAAACTACACTTAAACAGTACCTCCCATTTTGTCCTAAGTAGGATAGTAAGAACTCTCTGGTAGCTTTAATAATAAAGAAAAAGGTATACCTTTATTGCTGCTTTTTCATTAGGGAAAGTAGCAAATGCTGTATGTTTCTGAAAGAGAATTAAGACATGTATTATTTCAATACAGTTTAAGTTTCTCATAAAAAAAAAAGTCCAACATTTATCAACAGAATTTGGTATATTAATAAAATTATGGGAAAGGGTAACTGAAAACTAGAGGATTACTAGTTTCAATCTAGTTGCTTTGAATTTTTCTTGGGTCAGAGTTCTTTGGGTTGAAAGTTATTCAACCTTTAAAGCATACAAATATAAACAGCATGATTTATAAATATAAGCATTTCAACAGACAAAACTTTAAAAATTTCTATGATTTGCGGGCTAAAGAGATGGTGCACTGGTAAGAGTGTGCCGTATTCTTCCAGCAGACCCAAGTGTCTGACTTGCAACCACCTGTAATTTCAGCTCCATGGGTTCTGAGGCCTCTGGCAGCAGCATAAGGTCCCCTGCACTCAGGTGTAGATACTCAGAAGTCACTAACAAATATGTCCAAAATGACACATCCATGACCTGACAATTCTTTATTTTTCATAGGTAAGAAAGACTGAACGTAAGAGGTATTATGGAAAGTGGAGCTAGTGCTCTTACTGCTTTCGAACTAAGCAGGATTAAAAGAAAATTAAATGAATCCCTCTTTGTTAGGCAATAGTGGTACTCAAATTTCCTTAACATGCATCTTTGTCCAAAACTCACAGGGTCTTCCTACTCACAGCCCACCTGCAAATCACAAGGTGAACCTAGGTGGCCTTGATCTCACAGAGATCTACCTGACTCTGCCTCCTGAGGTGCACACAACCAGAGCTGGCACCCCCCCAACACACATTTTTATTTCATTAATGTGTATTAGTGTATTGTCTGTATGTGTGTATGTAAGTGCACTGGTGTCATGCACTACCCATGGAAGTCAGAAGAGGGCACTGGATCCCCTGGAACTGGATTTATAGATGGTTGTTAGCCATTGTGTGGGTACTGGAAACCCAACCAGGGTCCTCTGGAAGAGCAGTCAGTGCTCTTAACTACTGCACCATCTCTCCAGCCCTACACACATTTAAGCCTGCTAAAGTTCTAAAATGTTCCTTCAACACAGTCCAAGGTAAAATTTTAAAACCTTCACCAACAGAAAAAGCATTCCTCAAGAACTATTTTCTCTTTGCTTTATTTTGTAATTCCTTTCAAAACTCTTGGTTCTTTTTAATATAAGTTCCAAGTATTTTCAAAACTATAATACAAAGGTTAAACAAATCATCACATTATTGGTAAGTACTGATTGTTTATAAATTACTTGCATATTATAAATCCTAATTTTGTCCAATCTAAGATGAACTGAGTATACTTAAATTGAGCCAAAATAGAGCATTTGTATTTGTATTTGTAGGTATATACAACATTCAAAGCGTTCCAGACTGACCTTTCTTAAAAATTGGCAATTCTTGGGGCTCAAGAGATGACTCAGTGGTTAAGAGCACTGGCTGCTCTTGCTCAGAACCCCAAGTTCGATTCTGAGCACCCACAGTGTGGTTAACAACCATCCCTAACTCCAGATCCAGGGTTTTGCACGGGCTTTGCACAACACAGGTACACTTACATACACGCAGGCAAGAGTTATATACACGAAAAATAAATATAAATAAATAATAAAACTCAGCAGATCTCAACCTTGACTGTACAATTAGAATCTCCTGAAACTAAAAATAAAAATAAAAAATAAAAAAAATAAATTTCTCTAGCTCCATCAAAATCATCTTGCTTAAACCTAACATTGGCATTAATATTTTAGTGAACACAACAACATACACATCTCTCGAGTATACATATATTAAAAAAAAAACAAAACAAAACAAAAAAAAACAACTAAGCATTTCGGCGTGGAAACTTTTAACTATTAAAATAACCTTCCTTAAGTGCTGGAGAGCAGGCTCGGACGTTAAGAGCTAGTTGCTCTTGCAAAGGACCCGGGTTCGAGTCCCAGCACCCACATGGTAGCTAACAACCATCTAACTCCAGTTGTAGGGGATCCGACGCCCTCTTCCGACCTCTGCGGGCATTGCATGACAGGTGCACTTACATGCATATAGTCAATACACCCATACACATAAAGAAAAATAAACAAAAAATTAAGCATCCTTCCCTGTCGCATGGGGAACTTTTCATGGTGACCCTCTTCATCCTCTGAAGCATCTGGAAGAAGCTATCAGATTATCTCCCAATGCAAACTGCGACTCCAGGACGTGTACAAAGACACCGCCAAGCGCAACTCCCGGCTTGTGTCAGTGCGGCCGCGGAGGCAGGCCGGGCCGCGCGGCGTTCCGGGGGCGGAGGAGGGCCGCAGCCCTCGGCTTCTGGGTGCAGGCTTACCAGACGCCCCTTGTCGGACAGCACTCGCACCGACTGCGCCCCGAAATACTTCAGCAGGTCCTCCTTCTCCTCCGCCGTCAGCTCGGCCGGCAGGTGCCTGACGAGGAGCGTGCGGTCACCCCGGGGCGGGGAGAGCGAAGCGGAGGTTGGACCGCCTCGCGGAAGCGGCATAGGCGGCTCGGCCGCCATCCTCCTTGGAGAACCAGCCGCGGAGGAGTCTCGAAGAAGCTTCCCTAGGAACCCCAGGGTCCTCAGAAGCTGATTTCCGCTTCGCGCTAAGGATTCTGGAACCCCGGAACTATCGCGAGATTTTGGTCTCCTCGCGAGAATGGGTGGTGGCAGGAGCTGCAGCCGGAGTTGACGGTGTCTGAGAGGCGAGAAGTCCCAATGATGTGAAGATGACGGCTGACAGTATTAAAACTAAAGTATTAAAACTTGTGACCGAAAGAAGCATAAGTGTTAAAAAGCTAAAGTTGTAAGGAGAGAGGACCCTCAGCCCCGGGAGGGAAGCAGTCGGAAGAATACGCAGTGCGCATGTGCGAGCGGTAATGGCTAGCTGCAGCCGCCGGGTTAGGTCTTGATCCGTCTTGCTGAAGTGAACCTGATTCTGACTGAATGGGGCACGGTGTGGAAATGCACAGTGTATTCTTAGAATTGGGAGTGGTGACACAAAGGTATCCAGTCCGGTATTTAGCTCAGGATGGACCATGTCGGCACAACCGTGTTTAGACAAAAACTAGACCAGCGTTGGGTTTTCTTTAATTAGGGTGCGAGTACAGCCTGCTGAGTCCCTGCCACAGTTTATTAAACAGAACTGTCGGTCTCCAGTTAGAACTATCCAGGGGGCTTGACAGAATGCTCAGTGGGTGAGAACACTGGCTGCCTTGCAGGGGACCCAGGTTGGATTCCCAGCACCCACGTAGTGGCTAACCCTCATTCTTAACTCCAGTTCAGGGGATCCGACGACCTCTTCTGACCTCTGCGGCCGTTGCATGACACCGGTGTGCTAACATGCATGCGATCAATAACTCATATACATAAAATAAAAATAAAATTTTTAAAAGAAGTACTCGAAAATGTACAAGCACACATCTGCACAGCTGAGGATACTGATGACCGGACAGGATAGTCACACACCTACACGACGTGATTTCTGGTGTCTGACTTGGCATCCAAGCCCAGAATGCAGTGAAGTTGAGATTAGTCCTTGCGGTCAGAAACACCCCTTACTGCAGGTCATCCACATTCAGATACTGCAGTCTGGATAACCAGAGTGTGTCTTACTGATCTCTTAATGTGCTTGATGGGTGTGAGTCAGGTAGCACTAAACTATGCATTGTTAGGGGAAATGGCCCAAAATATTGAGTGGGTAGAGCTACATTATATGAACCTTACAGATCTGGTAGGAGCCCTGAGCATCAGAACAGCTGGAAATGTACAGACTTTTTTAAGTAGGAGTGTGTGGAAGGAATGATTAAACTTTAGTTTTGAACATTTCTCTTTGATTTCACTGTGAAAAAATAGAACAAAGAGAGAAGAGGAATCTCAGCCATAAGACTGGAAAACATTTTACATAGGAAAAATATAAAATTTTGGTGTACCTATGTGGGCAAATTTTTCTTGTTAACTTTTAGGAAAGTAAACTTTGATTTTTCTTACTCAGTTAAAATGTACATGTACTTTTTTATCTCGTGGTTCTTTTCAAGTCTGTCCTATAGAAATAAATGCTTTTGTCTTTAAATAGCTGAGTGGTTGAATGGAGCTACCCCCCCCCAAAAAAAAGTTCTTCAATTTTGCAAGTATCTATTGACTTTCTCTTTTCTGTCATATTCCTTAGCTTGCATATTCATTTTGATTTTTAAAGCAATCTGCTACTGGGTTGGGGTGATAGCTCAGTACATAAAGTGATTTTGAAAGCAGGAAACCTGAGTTTGATCCCTAGAGCCCACATTAAAAAACAAACAAAAACAGCTGAGTGTGGTGATAGGCGGATCTATGAAGCTCACTGGCCAGTCTGCGTGATGCAGATACCCTGTCTGAAAAAATAAATAAATAAATAAAAGGATGACACCTGAGGATTGATACCCAGCGTTATCCTCTGGCCTGCATGTGTACGTGCTCAAGTGCACATGCATACATATGCAAACACACAGACATGCACACAGAGCAACAACAGTCCACTACATATAAGCAAAATTCTCTTTCAGTTTTAAACACTGATGTCACTTCTAGGTTTACACCTTATCCAAGCACAGGAAACCTGTAGTAGGGTAGGTGGCATAGTGCCTTCTTGTCCCTGTTCCTTTACCTCCTCTTTCTGCTTTAGGAGTCTCTAGAAAAGGAGAGTGGTCTCTCTTGGCTGTTGATGGTAACTGAGGCAGGCTAGAAAGACAAGAAAATTATGGGGCTTATGGAAAGGGAACAAAGTCCCTCACCCCAGAGTCTGGTTGAAATCCTTATCAACTGAGAGGCAAGAATTCCAGCAAAATCAACATTGGCTGTAAAGGTCGCTCACATACAGTTAATATTCCTTTCCAATAACATACAGATGTTTTATATTAAAATGGAAATGATTCAGGCTGAAAGCCAGTTGCACATGACCTCGGGCAGGGCCTCATTCCTTTTTCCAGACATTTTCTGGGATTTCAATAAGACTATTTGAAGTAAAGATGTTTTACTTTCCTGCATCCCTGTGATTGAGACTTTTACCTTACCAACTGTAATTCTGTCTGTTGCCCCCAGGAACTACTCTGTTCTTCATTTGTATACCCTGGCAACCCCTTGAAGATAGTAATTCCTAAACCTACTGAAATGGTGTTTATGAATATTGTACAGACGATGAAATGTACCTAGTCTTTGAGAAGCACCTACTCATGTTATATCTTTCTTTCTGGGTGCTTCTCTTTTAGCCCTCATGTCTAAGCTTATAATAAATAACTGTGAACTCCAACTGTGCCTCATGCTGGGTAATCCTGAAATCCATAGCATCAAAGCCTGGGACACAGTTTGGTCTGAGTCAAGGTCCCTAAAAGATTAGGGGACTTCCTCAGGCTTCTGTGGATGACAGAATGCAGCTGGGCCTCCTGCCTCTGTGGCCCATATCCTTGCACCACTGATAGCCCATTGACTGCAAATAAACACACAGAGCACTTTTGGCTCTTTTGAGAGCATGGAAGAATTTATGCCATATAATTTGATGGTGTCAATGATACATTTTATCTTTATGTATGATTTCCATTTTGATTGTGCTTCCAACTGTTAGAGTAGTAAATACTCCATAAGTTTAACTGTTCAAGAATATAAAATCTGTATCTGTTGGAAGACTCAGCTTTTCAATTTCACAGGTCAATCACCTGGTCATAGGACCATCCCTAGGAAGGCAGGGCCTCCTTAAGTCATGCTAAATAGATGGGTGGAATACCTAGTGAGTTAATGAGATAGTGAATTTTTCCTTCCTGGAATCCCACCTCCCAGCGTAGAGCTTCAGGTCCCAGTAGCAGACATGTAGGTCTCTGTAAGGCTTCCCGCTTTTCCGAATTGTTTGAAAAAGCGTAATCTTTCCTTTTTCTTCTTCATATACCTTTTTCTAAGCATGCTTTCCTTAATGCTTTTGGCTGCTCTAGCATCTTGGATTTCTTTACTTTTTCTCTAAAGCTTACTTCTCCCAGCCATGTGGCTGCCAGTGAGCCTCCATGCAGGCTCTCAGCCACCATAGCTTCATGGCTTCCTTTCCTTCTCCCCTCCATTCTCCTCCTCAAGGCAGCTGCCAAGATGACCAGCTTGCCTGCCCTGAGGATTTTTTCTTAGAATTCTAATAAAATTGTCCTAAAGCTTCCCTTTGGGTTCATTCTTAAATTATTTTATGAATGAGACTAAGAACCCTCTAGGGGATGTTCTTTCTCCCCCAGTGTTTCACAGCCTCTTGAGAATTATTGATCCCAGCAGATCAGCCTCCTGATTAGGTCCTTATCTATGTGCAGTAAGTACTTCTTTTGGTGATTTAGTGATGCAGAGATTAATTTCCAGGAAAGCGCAAAGCTTTTAGTACTAGTTTACAAGTGGTCTGAACAAAAGATGGTTTGTCTTCCACTTACCTAAATTCCTTTGTTCACTTCATTCATTCACAAGATACATAATGCTTTTGCTTCAACAGGAAAGCCAAAATTTTAAGCTGAATTTGAATAAAATGTGTTAAAAGCTATGGCAGTGTAAAACTGTTGATTTTCATTAATGATAGCACTGACGAACTTTATTTTCTCCTGTTATAGACTATCAGTTATGAAATCACATTGGTAAGATAGGAACATACCACCATTGCCTGGGAATCTGATGCAGAAAAGCAGCCTTGATTTCCTACCTATATTAAGTTTCAGATATTGTTTAGACACAGCATTGGATTTTCATCTTAACTTTGTAATTTTCAATGCAGCAGGACCTTAAACACAGCCTGGCTTTAAATGTAGCCTAACAAAGAGGGATTCATTTAATTTTCTTTTAATCCTGCTTAGTTCGAAAGCAGTAAGAGCACTAGCTCCACTTTCCATAATACCTCTTACGTTCAGTCTTTCTTACCTATGAAAAATAAAGAATTGTCAGGTCATGGATGTGTCATTTTGGACATATTTGTTAGTGACTTCTGAGTATCTTCTATGCCAGACACTCTCAGGAATGTTAAAATAACACACAGAGTACTACATTAGATGGAAATCATCACATAACTAAGAGATTTATTCTTCATCAGTCTCTTGATTGACTGGAATATGGATG